CAAATCGTAGTTAAATAAATTGGATGATTTTATTATTTAATGAAATAAGTAGGCCTTGCGAGCTATGCATTGCTACTCTTGAATTTTTCCTGCGGTTTAGGTCCACCTCCCTTTGGTTGTAATCTGAAGAACGAAAATATTTCATTGTTTAACTACAAGTTCAATAGAATACTCAGTCAGCTCATTCGTCATTAGGGCTAAGATACGAGTTTTAGTCATGCATAGAAGCATACATTCCCATGGTATTGCCGTATCTGAAAAGCAGTACCTGATAACGAGTGATTTAATATTATAATTTTGTGCATCATACATCCCAGAATACTACTTCTATTTTGTTAATTACTAATATAGCTTCTGCGCTTATTTGTGAGAGACTTTATAAATGTGTATTTATGAAATATTATAATGTTTAAATCATCCTTAACCATACTAGAATTCTTCTATAGTCTAGAAGTAGTCTTTCCGAAAATGAGCGAGTGTTAAGTGTGCTCAAGCCGAGATGCACGTCGTACCAATCCGATTGGTGATTTGTAATTTTTTGAGTATACATTTTTTATTCCTTGAGCCACATATGGTCAAAAACCTACAAAGAAGCCCACTTGAAGGATCACCAATGGCCATAAATAGAATGTATAACAAGTAAATCTTTTATTTGTGTGATAGCATGTAATGAAGAGGAAGGCCAACCTCATTGAAAAATGATAATGGAAAATCTTCATTCATAAGTAGGGTTCCGAGAATATCCGAAAATCGGTTCTATGGGATGTATTCACCTTAATTCGTTTTAGGTGATGAAAGACTGGTAGTTAGGTTCTCCCGCAATTATATGAATAGAGCTGACGTTTTCATTGAATTTCACATAGCTTTACTTTCCTAAAAGCTGTTCACATCCAGAGTGGACTTCAGTTTCGACCTCGCATACGTCTTATCAACACCACCAGCAAGATTCGAAACATGACACTGCAGCATATAATCTCAGCACGTTAATCAATACGAAAGATTTCTATGAGTGTCCGTGGGTCAGAGGGCAGATGTGAATTTCAAGGAAGGCCATGCATTTTTCCTTACCATATTCTTTGGTGGGATTAATGACAAAGTAAAGTTAATTTGCTATGATAATAGATGATATTACTTATTTCTCATTTATAAGTAGGGTTACTTAACTTTCTGAAAATAAGTTATATAAGATGAATTCACCCTATTTTATTTAGGGTGATGAAGGACTGATGAATTTTCCCACGCTGATATAATTATAGCTGACAATTCCATTGAATTTCACATAGTCTTGCTTTCCCAAACAGAATTCTCATCCAGTGTAAACGGTAGTTTCGTGATTAAACGCCGAACTGTAATTTTCCGATTCCCACTGAGGGTGCTAAGCGAGGTCGAAACTGCCGTCCTCCCTTAATGAATACACCTTTATTGAAAGCAAGGCTATGTAAAATTCAATGAAATCTTAAGCTCTATCCATAGCATTATGGGAAAATTCAACTACCAGTCCCCCATCACCTTCAACGAAATATGGTGAATGCATCTCATATAACAGATTATCTTCAGTCAATTTTCAATTGATTTGGCTGAGTCATTCACATCGTCGAATCCCTCTAGACCACTTCACCATTTTTCCGCGAAAATATGAGCCTAAATTCATATATGTGGACATAACTTACACAATATCTAAGGGGTAATACTAAGTTAAATCGAATGATAGACTAATCTCTTTATTTAAGTAATAGTGTTGTAAAAGAATTTCAAACTGAATTATGTCCCTGTTGGTGCGCATATTTGTGTATCGTTAAAAATACAAAGTGATTTAGCATCCTTTATAAAAATACAAATATGTGTTTGCATCATAGTAACCTTTCTATGGGCTCTATATCAACTACTAGTCCTTCATCACCTTAAGCGAAATTAAGGGAACAAATCTCATTTATCTATACTAAATTGATTTTTCATATTCATACTATGTAGCCATACATGTCTTGATTTGCGTAATATACTAGACACAAAGGCATCAAAAGTCGTGAATGATGCGGGCTCTGTGTTATTGGTACTTTTGAGAGTATCTACTACCATAAATATTTGCATCACTTAGACCTAACTGTGCTCTAAAATAGTATTAACGGAAAAGAAACACCAGCTGTTTAGACAATTAATCTGAAAGTTGAATCCGCTCCTCAGACTTGGAGATTTTTGTTAACGCTATTAATTTCGATGTATAGAGGGAATAAAGTATGACGCTGCCGGAAAATTCACTGTTATACTACCGGACAGTTGAGATTCAACCTAAAATCTGAACGCAAAAGCGCTCGAAGGTATGAAAACCAAGATGACATGGTCTTTAGTATAATCGCGGTCTCCTTTCGTTGTATAGAAGTTGTCCTATCTTGTTTTTACAACTCGATCATCTTACAGTAAACCTATCTAAATCAAATAGGAATATCACAATTGTGGGTGCGAACACAAGAGACTAGGGCAGTGATTCTCAAACTGTGCGCCGCCGCCTCTTTAC